AGGTTTGGCCAAAGGTTTCAAACAAGCCCAAATTACAGTATCTGAATAGCTCTTCAAAAATACGCTGCATGTTATATATTTTCAAGCCTTTTCCATGCTTATACCTATTTTCCTTGTCCTATTCAATCAGCGTGTTATATCACTCCATTCAGCAATTTAACAAATCGAACAAGAGAACAGGATACTGGTAAATACAGCAGATACATCTCTATTCAGGTTAAAAATGAATAGAATCCCTCTCAAACTTATGTAGGTCACAATCTTTGATGACTCTTGAGCCATACATTGCACTCACATTTTGTACCTTTTAGGCTACAGTCAAACCCTTTTGAAAGCGGTATCTAAGCATGTGGACTCTTTTCAGTGTGTATTTTCCAAAAACCTACAAAGTCGTCTCTAACAATTCTGTGGACACTCCAGTTGGCGCTGGACAGCAGGCAGGGAAGCCTCCAAATCACCTTCATAGACATAGAGCACATATCCACTCCTTCAGCTGAAGAGAGGACAACATTTGGTAAACATCAATAACAATTCTAAGATTGCTTGTCTGCAGATATTTACTGATTATTCGTTCAGGATTCAGCGACCAAAATATTCATAACATATAGATAACAGATAATTATAAAATCATCCAGGATCACAGGATGAGAAATTAAATACACAAGAATAAATTCATGGGTGCCCGGTTAGCTCAGGTGAGAGTCAGAGCTGGCGACCCAGTATACCGACCAGGATGCACTGAGCTAACCGGGCACCCATGAATTATTATTCTTGCTGTGATATGATTTCTCTCAGCCTTGTTGTCCACGTGTCACATCTGCTCAGGTTATTTGGTGAAATCTGAAAATAATCAGTAAATATCTGCAGACAGGCATCCGTCAGGAATGTTATTGATGTTTAACAAAGTGTTGTCCTCTCTTTCAGCTGAAGGAGGGAAATATGAAGGCTGATTTGGAGGCTTCCCTGCCTGCTGGTCAGGAGGATTTTGCAATCCGGTGCCGGGACGTTTGCCGGTCGTACGGGAAACTGAAGGTCCTCAGCAACCTCAACTTGACTGTACCGCAGGGACAAATGTGAGTGCAATGTATGGGCTCAAGTCATCATGGCTGCAATTTGAGACTATTTTCCTTTACTGATAAGACATGTATCTGTTTACCAGTATCTGTTCTTTTCCTTGATACTGAGTGTAAAGCGCATTGATAGGGAATCAAGGAAATAGGAGACACGCATGGAAAAGGCTGAAAATATAACTACAGCTATCTTTTAAGATAATACTGTAAGTTGTATTTTGAAACCTTACACCTCCACTTCTCCCCTTGTAGCAATGGGCAGGCACAAACAAAGGACTTGTCCTTCTCCTCCCAGTCAGCAGGTGTGTTCTCAACATGTAAATGAGGCTATGATTCTCGGGTGAGGTTTTCAGAACCTGGCTGAAACTAGTCTACTTGCCTTCTTCTTTGTCATGTATCTGCTGACTGATCAATATTTCAATCTCCTGCTGGACTGCCAGGTCAACTGTCCAAAATCGACTTGTTTGGCTTCTTAAAGTTGAAGCAGGAAACCCCAAAGGGCAGAAGACGTTCTTTGAGGGTCGTAGACATTATTACAAATAGTTTTACTGTACTTATTGCTTTGTAGTCCAGCTCTTGTAGTCAAGTAGTCATAGAAGAACTGAAATCCACAATGCACACAGTTTGTTTTTCCTGTAGTATTATGTCATCTGTTATTTCTGTCTGTGTGCTTCGCCAGAGAGGATTTATGTAGGTTAACACGTTACAGGCTGGAAGAGGAAAAACAAAAACTTTGTGTCAGAAATAGTTTAGGCTCTTAAACTGTTTTTTTTTTCTGATGACAGAAACAATGGGGAAGTGATGAGTATGAAAGTCTGTCAGAGACAACAAGCTTTCTTACTTTTATTACAGGCTGGAAATGTGCTGAATGACAAAGCTGATATAGTGTTACAGCTTGCAGCTGTGTTACATTGCGCATGTGATCTTCTTTTTTTATTTTTGTTTAATACAAATATTACATTAAGGCCCTTTTACTGACTGACTTTCACAAATTGGTTTTAAACAAAAGGCCAGTATAGTTGCACAAAAATAATTTTTCTGACAATGTACATCGATTTCTTTCAGTGTTTTTCATATTCCAGTGGATAAGTGGACAAATTTAAACTGTAGAAAGTAAACATACAAATTCCATTACTTCCTCAGACTCAAAGACAAAAGGTTTCTTTGTAAAGCTTTGCTTGTTTACCAATGTTCATCACACAAGAAGGAAACTATCAAAGAAGCCCAAATACAAGTCAGAACATAACATGTAGCATTCTGAGATCAGTGGGTCAGCTGAGACTAAAACACTGTGTAGATAATAATAATAACACATTGTATCTCATATGTTTCATTTGTACACAAACAAAAATGTAAAAATACCAAGTTGTGTTTTTGGAGTTATGTAATATATGTATATATATTGTCACTATTACACTACATGACTCTCTCTATCAAACAATTTTTTTTACATTTTTACATATCAACAAATTAAATATAATAAGTTAATTAGTGAGCTTTAGAGGTGTTGGTAGACTTTTGAACTTTGGACAGAGACAGGCTAGTTGTTTCCCCTCTGGTCAGTCGTTATGCTAAGCTAGGCTAAGCCAGCCACCTCCCAGTTCTAGCTCCATTCTTAAACATGTAATAAGATATTGTTGGCCAGTTAGGGTCAGCAGAAGCGAGGTATAAACAATCGATCGCCTTATAAACCTATATGTACACAGCCAGTAAGATTAGTATTAATTAATTTATCATGTATCAATCAATATGATGGATCAACATTCACTCTCTTTTTAGCTCTGTTTTGGCCTCCACCAACCACTCAGGGAAATATCTGGCTCTTTATCTGCTAAATGATCCATTGTGTTCACCAGCTAGCTCCTAACTGTGTTTGCCTGCTGGTTGGTGTTAAGCAGGCAGAGTACAGTATGAGAGAAGTCAAGTCAAATATATTAATTATAGTCGCTTGAACACACAGACAATGGTATCGATCTTCTCATCTCAGTCTTGAGAGCAAAACGTCAAACTATTCCTGTAGAAGTTTCCAACTGAAAATTATGATTTTTGCAGACTGATTAATGAAAGTTTTGTTTTCTTTCTCCTCCAACTGTAACATGAACTGTTACTCCAACTGCAACTTTAACAATTCATGAATGTAGCACATGGTGGTAAAGTAAACGTGTGCTGCTTTGTGTTGTTTGGTAGTTACTTACACAATCTAATCGTAGGGCCTCTTCAAAGCACTAGTATGTACTGTAGCTACACTGCCTGCAGCCATGGTTGGGTTTATCTAATATAGTCATCTGGTTATCTTTGGGTGCTTACACAGATAGTGTCTATGTCCTCTCTTTAACCTCCTTCCATGTCTGTCTGACTGGCTCACTAGAAGCTACAGTTACTCAATCCACTAGTTTCCATTCAGTTTACATTTATAATGACTGAACATGCCAGTTAGAGTTGTGATGGTGTGTTTGTGTGCCAGGAAGTTGATCAAATCCAACAACACGCTGTGTACTAAATATAGACTGTAAAGTTGTTTGACCTAAAATGCTGTTTGTTCTGTGTCGCAGTTATGGCCTGTTGGGGCCCAGTGGGTGTGGGAAGACCACACTCCTGAAATGCATCGTGGGAACTCTGAAAATCTCGCGGGGTCACATCTCTGTGTTAGGGAAGCCACCTGCGTTCCCTGGTCACGACGTGCCGGGGAGGAAGGTCGGATACATGCCACAGGTAAATACGACATCTTAGAATATATCTTTCACACATTAAAGGGTAAATGTGTATTATGTTCATTCAAACCAAAAGGCCCTTGAAATAGTTGGAAAAGCTACAAATTCCTGACATGTTCCTGTCTTAAATTCCATTAAGGATTAAGTACAGTTGAAAAGGTGTTTAATAGTCTTAAATATTGTTTTTTCACAGTCAACTCTTTTCCTCTGTTCACATTAAGTCCAATTACTCACTCAGCTCCACATTTAAACCCTAAATTTGCCGAATGAAGGTTTTTAAGAACCTGTCTTTCTTCTCCCCAACATTCACATCAAGGAGTTATTAATTAGACCCTCAAATCTAAGTGCCTTGCTCAGGGGCTTCTTTCATTTAGCCTCTGTTGCAGTGAGTGACCTGTGCCCGAGTGTCTCCCATTACTGTCAGACTGGATAACTGATGAGGCTGATAACACACATGGCCTGTGTCCTCCTGTGTGTAACCTGTACGTCGCATTGGTCCCTGTAGGACGAGATCTGTGACTCAGGGGAGAGGAAATGTGACATCTCTTCTGGTCCCCAGAGTGCAACTGTTGTACCGCTGTGGTGAACTTGTGTTGTCTGATGCTGCAAAGCAGAGAAATTCATTGACTTGTAACTTTTGTCTCAAACAGAGAGGTTATCAATATATATTATATATTTATACATTATTAATTTCCTGTTACAGAACAATGTGCACATGGACTATTATTTAAGCCCTTAATCCTTCAAGATTAAATGTTTTTCTAGAAATGTAGGCAGTAATCCTTTCACTGACAGAAACACTCTAAGAAAATGGAAAGTCAAGGGTCTCTGCATGACTGCTCAGAAGGCAGCAGTGCAGAGGCAGATCTGCAGGATATAGAGTGAAGTAAAACAGATACTAATGCTAAAGTAAATCTACTGTATTTATCTTTGGTTATATTTGTCCTGGGCTGTGCTGGAACATTTAGTTTTTGTGATGGAACAGTATTGTGCAGGAGGTTATAATAAGAATTTTACATTAGACCAAATTTATCAAAAAAGAAATAATAGAAGAGATGCCATAAGACTAAGGCTGGGTACTGAAAGGTAGCACTGAATATCTTGTACAGCTGCTTGTGCTTAACATTAAACATTATATGTTAGTGGAGTAAAGTCAGGTACATGATAAAGGTCCATGTGGGGATCGAAAAAGCTGCAGTAACTAAAAAAAATGCTTCTATCAAATATGAGTTTCAAGCAACACCTCTATTCACTGATATCTGTGACGTCTGTGATAAAACATCCACACTTCACAACCTTTTAAAACTTTGTTGATGTGTTTTGCAGGAGCTGGCGTTGTACAACGAGTTCACCATTGGTGACACCCTGACCTTCTTTGGCCGAATCCACGGCCTGACGTCGAAGGAAACCAAGGCACGTATGGATTTCCTCATTGACTTCCTGGATCTACCTCAGAAGCACAGCCTGGTCCGAAATCTCAGGTATAAACACATGTAGTAGACGACAGAATTACTTTAATATGAAGTGATTTGAAGCAGAGCTTCTCCAAAGAGGTTAGTGCTTTGGAGAACATAATACGGTATGTAGGATTAATGTAGGTCCATTTCACTGTATTCACAACAGAAGCTGTTTGTGGAATCACTCACCTGAAGTTCTTTAATTTGTTACAGGTGAACTTTGGACAACATTGTCAACCATTAGCCAATTGGACATCAGTATTGTTAGATTTTCAGCAATCTAACAATGGTGAAAGGATACTGATATAACTACTATCCTTTGTCCCTTTGTGCAGTTCTTTGCAGGAGGTAATTTTAGACTGTTTGTGCTTAGTAAAGATGTTCGATCCCAGGTGTGGTGAACTGAAGCCATATGCAGTATTTGCCTAGATAATGCCAGTTTATGAAGTGAGCTAAAATGTGTTTTTATAGCTGTCTGCAGACGTGGACTTTGAAACCTGAATTAAATGAATTATTGTGCAAACACACACAAACATAATCCCTCTCTCATACACAAGCTGTAAACCGAACCCAATGTCCATAAAACAATATGGCTTTGTCTGGTAAGCAGACAAGCAAAGGTCAAATAAAGAGAGAGCATCCATTTTTTTGCACACAGGCCCAAAATACAGTCACACACTGAGGGCTGATCGACATGCAAATATGGAGAGATGGTGGAATGATGGGCCGCTTATCAGCACCCATGTAGCAGTGATGGGTTCGGTGCTTTGCTCAAGAGCACAGTCGGCAATGCCCAGGAGAGGAACTGGCCCCCTCTTCAGCTACCAGTCGATACTATGCTGGATTCGAATTGGTGCCCGTCTGGTTCCCTACGGACTGAGATAATGCCAACTCCAATAATATGTGACCAATAATATGTAATATTAGTTTTTCTGAGTATTCCTGCCTTAGAGTCTTAGAGAAAATATTGTCCCTCAATATTGGATTTGTCCTTGTGTGCTCAGAAGGAATTTGGCCAGACCAGAGTACAAGATGAAAAATGAAGTGTAGGGTCTTGACGTTCCTCCTGCCTTCTGTTTTATTAGTTTAATTGTATCATTAAACTTTTTTGGAACATTACTTATAAGAAACAGATTTTGAGTGTCCCGTCAGTCTCAATCCGCCCAATCTGGCAACGCAGGTTTGCATTCTTTTGTGTAGCCATCAGGTCCACCTGTCTTTCAAAGTTTTATTTGAGGAAATATCATGTGAAGTTGCCAGTTTATTGATTGTATGCTGTGTCGTTTATATTGTATGCTGTAAAGTAGTTCCTCTTTGTGCTGTCAAAGTTTTTTTTAGATATTAACCAGTACACCAAAATAAATGTCAGCAAGCAAGGATGTCAGTTTCCTCAAAGACAAACCAACAAGTCTGAGCTTTAACCAGTGACCTGTTTGGTAGAATAATACGTTTATCGTCCCATTGAACAACTAATCATATCGGCACAGCCTTGTTCGGTCAATTCCTGCTGCTAGGATTTCTGGCAGCTCGTATTGTAGCTGTTCCGTTTTAGAAGAAAAACTTTCTACTCAGCTGAACTTCCAACTATCAGCTGCGCACATTCTTATCCTTTCCACAGAGGAAGATGCTGTACAAAGACCAAAAAGCCTTGTTCCCAAGCCATAAAAGGAAACAATCAAGCAATGCAAATTAAAAATAGAATATTTGGCATTAAACCAAATATTTCCATTGGATCTCTTTACTCCCTGTAAGATGTAAGAGAAAACTTGACACTGCTGTTGCAATCTCTCAGGCACCGATAAATATCAATAAAAGGGGTTTATAGCCCTTTTTTGATTCTGCAGTTATTGGAGGAAGAATAATCAGCATCTCTTGTTTCAGCTCTTGATTCACCTCCCTGACTCGTTACAAAGACCCTTGTGTTCCCAAAGAGGCCCCTTCATTAGCAGTTCATGTAATATTTATGTCATGTGTGGTGTAACAGCCTGTCATGTTACTGAGCTGCAACTTAAACTCCTATATTTGCTGTAAAAACGACTTGTTTTATTTCAGCATTATATTAAAGGTCGGTTGCATTAATGCGGCTTCTATTCACTTGTTCTGCTGCAGCTTTACGTGACACACAGGTTGTTGAAACTGTTCACAATACATAGTATGAAAGATATTCCTGGTATGAATAAACACACCATGCAGCACGCGTACTTCTTCATATCATTCTCTTTTATTTGGCTTTAATACAAGGTATGAGCAGTAAGCTAATTTGTGATACTTGATCTTTTTTTTTTTATTAATATAAAAAATACAAATATAAAAAATTAAATAAAGTACATTTTTCAAAATGCCCCTTCCTCCCAAGTTCCCTCGTTCTCTTCTTCATTGTTTCCCTGCGTGTTGTCAGGCAGGTTCGTCTTGCAGGTTTCCACACCACCTCCCTCAGGAGTGAGCGGCATGCATAGCGGCGAGGTGGATCATCAGTTACAAAGCAACTAGGAATGTGAGAGAAGATTCACCTTTGTTGCCCTGTTTGTTTCTTTTTGTTTCCTCACCTGTTTCCTGTGTGTGTTACAGTGGTGGTCAGAAGCGCAGGGTGTCTCTGGGAGCGGCTCTGCTTCAGAATCCCGAGCTGCTCATCCTGGATGAACCAACAGTCGGAGTGGACCCCGTGCTCAGGGCTAAGTATGTAACACACATACACACACACACACACACACACACACACAGCTGTTTCTTTCCACTGTGTCCTCCAACTTATGTCACTCTTGGAAACATCCAGCCCCATAAGAACATGTCATTTTCTCACATCCCCTAATAAAAACATACAAAACAAAATAGATTTACGTACATTTGATTTAATTTATATATTAATGTTACAGGGACAGTGTGCCACTTTATCCATCCTGGCTAATTTCCATCTGCAGTCTCTCTGGGCAGCTATAATAGACTAACTACAAAAGACACAACAGCAGCAGAAATACTGTACATATAGCAGAGCACAACTCATTTAAAATACATAAATGATTTAAAAACAAGGACAACAAGACATAAAAAATGGTTATTTGAATAAGTTATGGTCACACACTTGATCTTGACCTAAATTTAAATTAGCAATATGTGTTACAACCTCTGATAAGTGTTGGCAGACTGTTCCATGTGTGAGTTGCTCTTACTGAAAACGCTGACTGTCCTCCTCATACTATAGGTGTTATATATTAACAATACTCTCAATAGTAATTAACAACATGTAGGGGATTTAGTTGTAGGGTAGTCCTTACAATTCTTTCATTGCATTTGATGGCAGTCACATTTTGAATTACACTGTAATGGCTGACAGTAAAGAGTAACAGAAAACTTTGGCATGTTTCTACAGTAGCCCAGATTGGACAAACCAAACACCAGCTCTAGATAGGGCCTTTCGGAAGTTTTGCAGCCACCATAGTTTCTCCTACATGCTTAGAACTTGAGGGTGAGCCTAGGGTGTTGCAATCAGCAACTACACCGCTAGATGTTACTAAATCACACTGGACTTTTAACACACTCAGTCAGTATTGCAAATGTTGGAACCCTAAGTTTTCATATTAGAGTTTGAACATTTTATACTGAATCCTTCAAAATGGCGTTTCTAAATTGGAAACATGGCTGGTGGCTTTCGTATAACAACTTCACAACGACTAACAATAACATTTATGCATATGTTCTGGAGAAGCAAGTCCAGAAACCTTTTTGAAAGCATGCTGCCCTCCCTCAGTGTTGTTCCAGTCTCATTGTGTAATAGCACCACAAAGCCACATCAGATCAGATGGTTGGCAGCCAAATTACTGCTGGCAAAGCTATGAGCTTTTTCAGGCTACAATTTTAGAAAAAATCTATTAAGAAGCGGGTTAAGTGTTATGTAATTTGTTTCTTCGGTCTCCTTTCTAGGATTTGGCAGCATCTAGTGGAGATTGTGAAGACGGGGAAAGTGTCTGTCATCATCACCACACACTACATAGAGGAGGCCAGGCAGGCCAATGTGGTGAGATAATTCATACATGCATGGACACACACACAGAGAACCCACATGCATTTACACACACACACAAGGACAAATTAAGCATTAATAAACACTCACAAACAAGAATCAGGAATACTGCAACAAAATCTATGGAACAAAGCATCCACACTAGTCCCCATGTTTCACCGCCTCATAGAAAAACAATGATTCCATTGATAATCAGCACTGTGTCAACATGTTAGATGAAGTTTAGTCTTTATTAGCTTTGACAGGAGGGACAAAAGCTCTTACTGAATAAGAGTTATGGGAAAAAAAAACTTTTGTTTGTATAGAAACTCTATTGTGTCTTTATTTGACATTTTACTGACCAAAATAATTTCTTTTTGTACATAATTTTACTTTATGAATCCGTTTAAAGGATAAGCTTAAACTAAACCAACAATGACTCGATCCTACTAACACATATAGTCTGTGTATCCTGATATATCTAATTCTGCTGTGTGACAGAGCTCCATTGTTTTCATTAAAAACACTTAAGTGAGCCACACCGATGATGATCATGATGATGATGATGAACATTGTCACTGTATTTTATCAGTCTCAGTCCCACATCGTCCAGCTGCTGTAAATATTCACTAGTCCCAGATGTGTATTAATCCACCACTGAAAATAGTCCCCAACTGATGCACAGTTTACTCCTATATGAGAAAAGTTTGCTAAAATCTGTGTCCAGCTGTTTTAGGGAATAATTTCAACTTTTTTTCTTTTCAAATGAAATAATATATTTGTGAACATTTTAAAAGATTAACATCTTCAGCAGCAACAAAGTGTCACAAACAGAGTTGGTTAGTCAGAGAGTGCTGACAGATGACTAACACACCTTAAGAAAAATATAGAACAATTCCAGCTTCATCCTTAAGTCCAGTCTGTGTAAAAATATATGTTTTGATGACATTGGTTTGCTTAGTGTACATAGATACGAATGGTTAAGCCATATTGTCATAATTTTGTCATAAAAATCATAAAACTGAATTGCTAGAAAAGTAATTACCTGAAAGAAGTTTATTGGCAACAATGACATGATTTTTATCATCTGATCAAGGTGCAGTAGATTAAATGAACTGAATAACAGTTTCAGGACACAGAGGGAGAACAGGCACTTTCTGGGTTCATTTGTGCACATACATACAGCCACATATTTCAGTCTTTATCATGTCTTGACCACAGAATTGTATTTTCTACGGTAAACGGTCTCACACAGTCCAAAGGACATACAGTGAGCCCATAGCCCCACATTTGTACAGTACATTTAACACCCATGTCACCTTCACTGCTGATAAAACTAATGCTTGGTTCAGCATAAATCCTGTCATTGTTTCACCAGCAATCTTCTTTGTATAAAAAGTCCATAAAACCGAGTTTTATAGGTGTAAGTTTGTTCTGTAGATTATTGGCTTTCCACATGCCACATTTGTTTTCTTTTTGTTGAAGGTAAAGTCCATCATTTTGGACCATTATCTTTCCACTGAGAGTTACTCTAGCTCTCCCCTAGTTAGTCACCAAAAGAGGAGACTCGCAGTATGTCCAAAGTTGTCTAAATAACATGTTTACATGGTTTTAACTGGCTTGGTAACGTTAGCTTTTGGCTAGCTTACAGAGCTGGAGGATGTGATGAAATTCACTTGGGACTTTTTGTTGTAATGTTAACTAGCTGGTAATGGTCAGTAACAGTATTTTCTATTTCTTTTACACATTTAAATATAGAATATATGACATGTGGGCGTCGAGGCTTAATGAAAGTATTCGATTTAGGTTGAATAAGTTCATGAAAAGTAATGTAACAGTGATGTCACTCATTACTTTTTGCTGTTCAGTAATGAGAAATAACTTTTTCAAGTACTTAACTAACTGATGACTTGTATCTCGTTTGGTTAATCCATACACAATGGAAAACGTAAAAACAATATGCTTGCAAAACTGTTTCCCACTGCAAGTACTCTTTATGCTAAGCTACGCTAATCACCTCCTGGCTCTAGCTCCATACTTAAGACACGAGAGTGGTATCAATCTTCTCGTCTAATTCTTGGCAAGAAAGCAAATAAGCTTATTTCCAAATATTTCAAACTATTCCTTTAAGATCATATGGCCTTTTATTTTCTGTGCAGTTATAATGAATTTAAGGAAACATGCAAAGGGTGAAAGGGTGAAAAGCTAAAATTTCACTTCTCTTCTGTTGTGCAGTAAGTCCCACACCACATGCCACAAACCAAACAGTTTCTCAAAGGCAACATGTTTATTTGTTCCAGTCAGGAAAGCTGCAATATTTGTTATGTAGCTGAACTAGCTATAACCTCCTTACTGCAGCTGCTTTATCTCTCTATGCTGTGTACTGTTTTATATTGTTTTTTTTACCTATTGATGTTCTTGTATTCTT